TGTCTTCTTCTCCTTGTTGAGCAATTGGATGTCCTTCAACGTATAGACATTCTTCTGAAGCACGACCTTTAGAAGTCCTTTTTCATTCTTCAAAATTTCTCCGGCATATAATCTCCTAGGTCTTTCAAAACAACTTCTGACAATAAACAAAGGACTTCAGAAACTTCTGAAAACAAAGGACATCCTCTGTTGTAGGTGGTGGTGTGATGATACTTGCAAGTACCTGTTCGTGTGTGTTTTTTTCCGGTATACTCCGTGTTTAAGTTGTCGATTGTTAGTCCTAGTTACTGAAACATTGAGGAATGATAGATTGTTGTCCTTTTCTTCCTCCATGGTGAACATCGTTGAATTCTGGCGTTTTAAATTACTTAAGAAATCCTCAATCCATTGTTTGCTGTGTTGCCAGATGATAAAAATATTACCTACGTAGCCATAACTTTGGTGACCAAGCATGCTTTAAACCACTTTTTTAAATAGCTTTATTGACGCCAAATACTACAAGTTTTGCGACATATTTCGGTAATCCATCTAGTATGAGTGGCACGGCATTGCATTGTAGACAATGCACGGCATTCTTTACCGGCATTTTGGTAAAAAGTGATTCCACGTCGGAGTTTACTAATATGTCCTGTAGATTCAGGAAACTATTATTAATTCCACAAAATGTTTTGAATCTTTAACGTGTGAGTCTGTGTTAGCGTGGTGGAATATATGGCAACTTAATTAGGTTCTTCATTATCCTAACTATTTCATCCGTGGGATCGTTTTCGATTTTGTTTTGTGTATCTGGATCCAATAGAGTGTTCATGTTGTTCTCGTATTTCTTTCCGGTCACTACAGTGGCGTTACGTCTATTCTTCTTTCCACTCTACATCCAACTCGGCAAATAGCGAATGTTAATTAATTAGATAAAAAGGTGCTACCTGAGTAAATAATATTAAGAAGAGTATAAAACATATAGATTGATTATCATCTGATAAGAGACGTTTTCTTTTATTTCATCACAGAAAAGGTAGCTGATCTGATAAAATGGTAATGAATGAAGTAACAATAATTAAAATGATTAATAATTACGTTCCATACGCTATGAGCATTTCAAAATATCTGTAAAATAATATATTAACGAATTTATTATCTCCGCTCAAAGAATGAAAAATCGCCTGTGATTGGAACGTGTTCAATTTATTTGAAACGATTGGCACGGTATGGTTTTCTTGTCTGTTGGATATGCAGGATAAACTCACCAAGTTCACGTTTTAATAATTCACGAAAGAATGATAGTGTAGAAGTAACTTTACTCTCGAAACACATCTATAAGGTTTGATATTACATAAATCGGCACTCCCTCTTCACGTCCAGTAATGTGTAAATGAGTAGGTTAATATAGATTGAAGATTAAATGTTCGATTAAAAGATACAATGCTAATTTAATAGACATAATTGTCACGATTATGTATATCAGTAAAGAAACAATAATTGGCTATCACGTTAGGTTACAGTGTTTTTAAGGTGAGTTGGCGAACTTTTTCTTTATTATATATTCATAAGATTATCAATAGCTTATTAAATGTCATAATATACACACTAAAATCAACATTATTAGAAAGGAATGATAACAACAGCACTCACGTTTAATGGCGGACTATCTGTGCGAATACAATATTGTTAAAAGCAAATGAATGTATTTTTTAACGAATTACTTTAAAACGGAGTAAAACGGAGAGGGTTTAATCAAAATTGTGCTTCGGTGAATATTCATTAGGGCATAATGTAGAAAAAATTGGTTTGTAAATACTGTCGAATCTACATTGTAAATTACAAGTAAAAAATTCAAATTCCGGATTACCGGGATAATGCGTGCCCGTTTTAATTGTGTTGCTATACTCGATCCGGGGGCTCTGATGGCTCTCGTTGATTGTTGATGTCCCTCGATGAACGGTTGCTGCACAGCTTTTTTACCTATTGACGTTTCCGCTGTGCGACATTGATTGCATTGCTATAAAACAAATTCGTATGAGTTGCAACCAGGGGATGAGTATTTATGTATTTTTGGAATGTTTGATATGACCAGAATAATAATTTACGATCATTTTTAACGTAACTCGACCTAACTCACACTAGGGAAATATCATTTTATTTAAATTACACTTTTATATCTGAATAAAACGGATATTTGATCGTATAAACATGTATGTTAGAATCATAAAAATAAATTAAAAACATAAAACACGCGCTTGCTTGAATTGAGAAAATCAGAAAAATAATTTATCGTTTGCTTGTCCTGACTTCTTTAGAAGTACTCTTGAAAATTTGAAACCGTCCAATTTTATCTGGATGAAGGAGTTTGGTCCTCAAACTTTCTTATCAAAAGGTTCAAAGGATAGCTTGGGTTCCTTTTAACTGAAAGCTTTCGTATGCCACCTAGCAACGTTCTGCGATAATCTGTTTTATATACGCAAAATTTACTCGCAACTTAGAAGATATTTATATAAGTAAAGGAGGGTAATTAAATAGACTTAAACTATCAACTGCTATGATAAATGATATATAAATTAATACATTTTCTATTTATTTTTGACTGTTTTATGTATTATATTAACCATTTTAATATCTTATTTTAACTACCGGTAATGTAAGTATAATAGGTAAGGAAATTTTCCTGAGGGGTCGTCGTACTATACGAGGATGGGAATTTAATTTCTTAAAGGATTATCGGTGCATCGGTCGCCGCTTCAAGGCACAAAGGCGACCCGGGAATACCTCATTTGTCCCATTAATCCGATAATGCTAAATATAATGAATTTGGGAATTGCGCCAGTACGGCCTGATTGATTTTCTGCAAAGGTAGAACCGCAGCAGCGACTGCAGGATTACGCGAAGTCTTCGTCGTCTGAGACGAATTTCTCACTGTAATCTGATAACGGCCCAACAGGGATATGCCATTTACGTTGTCTATTCGTTGCCAGAATGGCAAATTAAACTCCTGCTTGAAAACGTTTCAAGAAGTATAATAAACGATTTATTTTCAAAGCATTCACAAATCATCATTAAATTGAAACATTTACAAAAAAATCTTATTCACTTAGAAATGTACACAATATTTCAAGTGCTTACAAACACTTTCGTACTAATTCATTAGATTTATGAACCTGTTACTCTGTTTTCACCTTCACAAGTCTTTTATCATTTTCCACACGCACAGGTAATACATCACTTGTTGCTGTCGGCCGTCACTAAATATTAATTGAAATACTTTCGACCACAAAATAGGTTTGTCTTTTTAGACAACGTATTCTGTCTTAAATTAATTAGAAACGCGGAAAACACTCTTTGTTTCTTTAACTTAGTATAATTTACGAAATGTTCTCTACCTAACAAGTTTATTTAAAACAATAATGTGAATCATATATTTCAAAATTATAACCAAAATGCATAAAAGCACACACAGTAATTTTCAAGGCAATACAATATTTCCCCAAAGCCCTATTCGAAACATTATTTCATGTGTAATTCTCACCGATGCATTAATAATTCTTCGTGATGTTACTCCCGCGTACAATTTGCTTTAAAGTTTTACTGCTAAAGTTCGTAACTGTGCACACGATTTCTTCCTGCACTTAACCGTCGTTAATCCAGCGGCATGCATTTGCTGAAAATCTCGTCGGGGGTTGCTTTTCCGAGGGACCAAGCCTTGTCAGGTCGTCGCAAAGCGAAGCAGCGTTTTTCATCCTTCGGGAACAACGCGAATTTAACAGACACGTCTACTGTTATTACACCCTGGAGAAGACCGACCGGAAATTTATGTGGTGTACATCGAGAGTTAGTGCGACGTAAAAGTGTAACGTTTGACTTATGACACTAAAGCGGTCACGAAGTCTACTTACTGAGCACGGAGTACGGTAATTTATACACGGAAATTAACGGCCGAAGAAAGCGGTAAGTTTCTTGGTGTGGCAGTACAAAGTCGAGGTTCTAAAAGTTTCAGCTATATTGCTGTAGAAGGAAATAGAGTGGATTTTATTAAATATTACATCGATACTAAAATAGAAGCATAAAAATAGAGATTTTTTGTATGATTTCCAAACCACTGATTTTAAATGATTCAGAAACTTTGAACAAAGTAGCTCAAGAGTGACGTTGATAACAGTAAAAGCATCTATACACAACTAAGAACGAGAATACTAAGTTTTGTTTGTTATTTTACATCCATTAACCCCTTCTATATTGTGACCATCATCTACACCGGTTTCTTGAAGCTAAAAACTACCTAGGTAAGTTTTCAATTTATTTTTGTTGCTGCCGAAATTGAAGATTGTCTTCTTACGACGAAGTATAGCTTATTGTATAGCTTTAAATGTTCTTTTTGCAATACTTTGCCTCTTGGCAACATGTTTTCGGCGTTCAGTTCCCCTTTATTTAATACTTCTAAGTATGTGATTTCTCTCTTCATCTCTATATATGCAAGAAGCTATTTTTCGTGGTTTTGTTGAAGCCTAGTATTTCAGTCTTCTGCCTATTTAATCCAATTCTCAGTGCATATCATTATGGAAACATACCTTTTGTTGAGTACATCACCTAAACAGTTTGGTTATGTGATCATCTTTTTTGTCTGGCTGTTTTTGTATTTGGTATGTTCTTCTAATATTATGGTGCTTTCATTAACAGGTAATGTAAACCTCTTTGTTATGATATGAATATATAAGTGTGTACATATTTACAACTAAGGATGGACCTGAATGCATATAGTAGTTAAAGTCATTTGTACTGCCCCAAAGAAAATTTTGAATAAGTGATTTCGATATTATACAAATAGGATTTGTAGAATTTTTATTAAAGGTGTCAAGATTATTTTCATGGTAAAACTAAAACCGTTTCGATCGGAATTTTAGCGGGAATAATTTTTTTTAAGACATGGCTCAAATAATAACAGTAATTTCTAGTTTTGTTTATAACACACTCAAATGGAAATCTTACTTTCATAAGTGTCTTTTTTATTACAGGTTAGTGGTGGTAATTGACATCAATTGCGGTGGTTGGATCTTGCTCCACTTGGTTATTTAAGGTAAGCATATTAAACTGTTTAACGTTAATTTTAAGATATATTATGTATAAGGTATAGATAAAAATCACACAGATATATTCTTATATTCATTATTGATTTTATATTTTTATTTGTTTAATTTAATTATATGTTAGCTCCTAAATATAAGGTGCTAATACAACGATATAAATAGAGTCAGTACGTCCAGTGATGGGCGCTGGGTAAATACCTGGCGGGTAGGTATTTCTAAAATGGGTATTTATCCGGGTATTTACCCCGGCCCAGGGTAAATACCCAAACAGTGGGTATAAAAGTGATACCAGTAAAAATATATCGATTCCAATGGATTCCAATAAAAATGAAGAGGAAGACGATGAGGACGTTGAAGACGAGGAATTGTCAACAATCAAAGACGTATTATCATTAGACGAATCTAATTTAGATTAGATAAAGTTATTATGATTATTATCACCAAGCAGCCCTCTGCGTCCATTGTTGGACATAGACCTTCCCTATTCTGTGCTGTTTGAATCCAATTGTTGGTCATTCTTTTGACGTCTACTTCGTCTGTTCGCTCGCGGTCTCCACTCAAGCAACCGTTTTGTCTTCATTCGCACGACATGACCCGTCCAGTTCCACTTAAGCTTTGCCACAATGTTGACCACATCATTTACGCCAGTTCTTCTTCATAGGTCTTCATTTCGTATGTAGTCCCTCAGAGTTAGACCCAGGATCGACCTCTCCATCTATCTTTGCGCTACTTGGACCCTCCTGACAGTGGTTACCGTTAATGTTAAAGTTTCGGAGCCTTATGTCATAACCGGAAACACGCATTGATTGAAAGCCTTTGAAATCCTTCTGTTTAGTTCGCTTGTTTGATTATTTCTCGATACACGAACCTCATAGCCAAGATATACATAGCTGTGAACCCTCTGAATCTCATTATCCCCAATGTTGATGTTAGAGCTGGGAACAAGATTTATCATAAATTTTGATTTCTCCTTGTTGATATTTAGCACGATTCTTGCACACACCTCCTTTACGTCGTTCATCATTAGTTTAATCTCTCCAAGGCTATCCGATATAAGAACTATATCGTCCGCGTAGCGCAAATTATTTAAGCATTTGCAATCAATGTTTATGCCTTTTTGGGTCCAATCCAGTTGTTTAAATGCACTCTGAGGACTGTGATGAACAATTTGAGTTCAACAGTGTCCCGCCTTGTTTTACTCACAATCAGTACTTTACTACTTTTACTCTCTTCAGTACTTTTATGCAATTTTACCGTCATTGTAGCATTCTTGTAGATGTTATAAATAAGTTTGGTATGTCGATAAGCGTCTCTGCATTCTTGAAGTGCTTGAAAAACTGCCATCAACTCAATTTAAATTAAATTTATAAATACCTCAAAGTACCCATCTTGGGTAAATACCCCCGGGTATATATCCAGGATATTTACCCTTGAAAATAAATACCCGGGTATTTAACAACACTGAGTACGTCACTTCAGTAGCATGTATATCGCGAGTTGACTGTTTTGGATAATAGCTATAACCTCAAGTTGTGGCAATTTCCTGGGTACGATGATACTTCTGGGAGTTTTTAAAGTTTATCTAAAACCTCTTGTAAGTGAATTAATTTTGTTGTACAGATTTTGTAATTGTATATGAAGATGTAGTAGCGTAAGTTACTTTTAAAAGGTTTATGTCTATGGCTGAGCTTAATCGTATTAAATTACCTAACCCCCGTTCATTCTTAATGGCAGATTCACAGGTATAATATTTACTATTTTTCTCTCAATTTACAGAAAACTGCTTAAACGAATCTCTGAATAGGTGTGGTTCTGCTAGAGAAGTATCAAAATAATATGAAATAGGTATGGTACAATCTCAATTAATTGAAAAATGAACAAATGCGAAATTTGTTTCAAACGAAACATTATACTAATCAGTGTTAACAGACTTGTTAATTTTAATCTTGTTAGATTTATGGCTAAATTTAACAATAGTTTGGCCGTTATTGTATGTGTGGATGATGATTTGGTATTATTCAGCGATTTCAATATAAATTTATTGAAGGGTGATAATCAAACTTTAACTTCACTCGATTAAACAACTTCGTTTGGTCTAGTTTAAATTATGGATTCCCCTCTCGTCCATCAGTCTAATTCACTTAATTTTCCTTTCGAATTAAACTTCATTACTTAATCAAAATTCGGAACTAGCCATATCTGACCACGATTTAATTTACTATGAACTTAGTGTTGCCACCAAAATATCTTCCCCTTGTTATCGTAATCACCGGTCGTCGTAATTTACCTGTTCTTTGGTAAGTTAAAAATGATGTGGATTGAATGACAGTTTTTAAATAATGCATTAATGGATATGACGAATTTTCATATGTACCTAGTCATTTTCGCTTCACCAGAGCTCCTACGCCTCGGTTGCATTGATTTATTATAAATCACTGCGAATTCTTACAAATAAATCTATAAGATGAGAAAAGCGTATTGTTTTCAATTAAAGGTGGTTCGTTGGGTATCTGAACGTTTTTAAAAACAGGCGATTTGGCTATAAAGTTTTCGCTCTATGTAGTAAACATTACTACGTATTCATCCTGACATCATAAATCAGTTCTTCATAAACTTAATATAAAATTTATGAAGGGACAATGAAGTGTATAATATTTGTATTAACCGTGGGATAATTGTAAAGAAATTGTCGTTGGAGGTAACCTATGAGGATCAGGACACGGGAATGTAAATGTAATATTAAAAATAACTCGACTGGTCTTGATGACTTAAACATTAGATTGATTCAAATATATTCACCTCATATTGTAGCTTTTATCACACACTTGATGAACAGGTATTTTTTTGCATATCATTTCCCCACTTGCTTATACCTTACGGAATATAATCTTTAACATTTCACATTCGGGAGTTGGCAACATTATAATTATAAAACAGCTCTATGGAACATTGTTGATAATATTAGAGGTAGCACAAATTTAGGAAAATTTACATAAATATATCTGTTGTTTTATGCTATGCTACGATACGTAAGGTTTGATGTTTTTGCATCCGGTTTATTATACAGCTTGATGAGTTGCGTGTATCGTTACCTTCGACAGCACCAGGGGTTTGAAAGGATGCAATTTAGGATCCATTGTTATAGTCACTTTACATATTACGCATACATCTAGTTAAATATTTCTTTTGGTAGTTAACTCTAAAACAGTATCTCATAATTTCTTACCTGATACAATAACGTGTCCCTTAAAAGACAAAAAATTAATCGCTTTCTGCAAAATAGTCAGTTGATAATTAAATTTCTTATTAGTGATTTCAGAAGACAGTATTATCCCGTATCAAAACAGATGTCAGTACAAAATCCCTTCTAAATATTGCTTGGCACAGTAGCAAGTAGCAGTGCTTTCTTAACACTTAACACTAAAAACACTTACTGTCAGGTAGGATGTAATTTAGGTCAATGCATGTTATAATATGAAAAGATCATAGAAAGAGATTATTAATTATTTTCTTAATTTGAATAGTTCACCCTGAAGAAGAAATAAATAAATTCCAAGGGCTTGGAATAAAACCAAGAACAACTTCGTTTTTATCGCCTTGTGAGCGTTTTTCTCAAAAGTTTTTTACAAATCACCCCCAACATACACTAAACAGATATTAACTACATTGCAAATATACATATAACAATAAAATCCTGTGGAATAGGTGATCTTCAAACCTTATATAACGAATATTATTAGATTATTTGCCGTTTCAGTTCACATTAGATAGCTTAAAATCAGAACCTATTGATTAGTATTATAGCCTTATATGAAATGTTTATGCATTAAATTCATGAATGTGTGCAACTATACTTTCCACTCTCTTCTAGTTTAAATATCTTTGGCATAAACTTATTACTTAGCCTGTTCTTCTAAAACGGAGATGAAGATCTTGCGATGTTGATCCCCGAAGACTTAACGAGGCTGGTGTCCCTTTTCTTCAATTTTCGTCTATCGGTCCGCTCCCATTCTGTCAACATGGTCTCTCCAACCCCCTCTTCTCTTTCTGGCCCATCTAGCAATATTCTCAATGCCGCATATATTTTTGATATTTTTGTTTTATTGTTTATCTCATAAAGAATAGCCGGTTATGGGTCATAGAGTTCTCATTTCAGTAACCATTTATTTCAGTTTACATATTATATTAGGTATGTAGATACCCCGATGTAATTGCTGCTTTAATTGTTTGAGCTTATACCTTTGCCTTCAATTTTATAGTGCTGCTTATGCAGGCTCTCAAATATTAGAAATTCATTATCTCATTACTTTACATCTTCTTGGTTGTTCTGAATGTTTTTCTAGCGTAATAGATTATTTTGACTTCTTTGTTTCTCATTCTGTAACCGTCACAAGCGATCTTGATATTCTTGATAGATCTTTTCGTCTATTTCTGAATTTATGACTTTTTTTTTTCTGTTTTCTTATATAGTTGTCAGACAGATATATTTGTTGCTTGTACATTAATTGGTTAATCATAATTTTCTCAAGACTTGAGAAAGCTGGATAAATCTTAATATGTAATTCTGTAATTTATGTAGTTCATTAAACTCAGTTCAACAAGTTTTGCCCTATCAATTGGTTTTATAACTAAATTGCTTTATATTTTCACATCATTTTTTGCTTTAAATTATAGTGTCTCCAGTTCCTGCTCTGTTGATTCTTAATCATCATTGCATGTAATGTTATGTGGTGTAATTCAGCAATTCATTTCTACGTCTTATATTCATCATATGTCAATGTTTTTGCAGTATGTGACATTTTGTTGGTAATATTTTGAATAAATTGGTTTTTAGCATAATTAATATAAAAAATTAGTTGTTTTGGTACAGAAAACCCCCGCACTCGATTTTTTGCTTAGAAAGTAGGTAATTTCCGACCGAGAAAACCTTTTTCCTATTTCTGTCTAATCTATACCGAGAAAAGTAAGATTACATTGTATACCCTAAATA